GCAGGAATATAGTGGCAGCTACAGTTGTGGAAGCTTTGCAGGGTAGTCTGCAATTTAAAGTGTACACAAGTCATGTCAGCATTAGTGCACCTTTATAACTCTGTACCATAGCAAGATTAGTACGTGTGCAATCAAGCATGCCTAATCTTGCTAAGACTACCAGAGCATTAACTGCTGGGAAAAAGAAACTAAAATGTAAGAGCTGAGAATGAAACAAAATAAAGTATGTAATGTACACATGCTTGGGCATCCTGGAGCTGCAGTTGCAGGTTACTTTTATCTTTAATTTGAAAATGTCAATTACCTTAAAAAAGTTTAAACAGACACTTCGCTGCCCAAATACAAAATAAATAAATCCATAAATAAATCACTGTTTTGGAAATATACCCCCAATGAAAACACATATACATTTAATTATGCATTTTTTAATTGGGGTATTTCTAAAAACAGATTGCAAAACCTGCAGCCTTTGCAAGCCCCTTATAACCCCACCCAGACTTTCTGTGACTGTCCAATCACAGGCTTCTCAATTCAGCTCAGGAATTTGTTCTGAGCAATTGCCTGCCTCTTGCCTTTAGATCCACTGAGCTAAACAAACCAGGAAGTAATAGGACTGGTTGTCTGATTGACAGCCAGGGGGTTTGTAACAAGGTTAATTTGTAAAAATGCCAAATTCTACTGAAACCTGCACTTTTTTGTAAAATGAAAAAAAGAAAACACATTCTTCACACATAAAGCACTTCATGGCAAACAAAAGTGTTTTAGGGGTCTGGAGTGTCAGTTTAAGGAAAAGACAAAGGAGTTAAGAGCTCCACTTTAGATCAGTAAATATAAAATCAACGAGTGATAAATCCTAGGTATAATATTAGTATAAATAGAGAAAATGAAGGAAAACAAAGTTCATCCAAATGTTAAAAATTAGATGGTATTAGTAGGAACGGTCTCACTGATATATGGTGATGGTGTGGATATAATCCTCAGATATTAATCCGTCCGTGTGGTAAATAGTCCATATATGTGAAGATAAAAAAGACAAAAGAAAAACTGCCAATGGTGAAATATTGCAGATCCAGATGTGGTAAATAAATCAAAGAGAGGATATTGCACTCACATTTGGTGGCCATCTCTGGGATGAAGGGCGCTTAGTGGTATAATCCCCACTTCAGGATATACTGGGATAGTCGGTCCGTCCGTCCGACTTGGATTCCTTTAGGTTGCTTAAATATAAGCTAGGACCAGCTCAGGTGTAAGAGACACTTTGTAGTTGAATCCCTACTTAAGGATCCATTAGTCTGATTACCTTTAGACTAAATTAGTGCATGGCAAATGGGACAATTGGGATGTTGTGGATCGCAATGTTTAAAGAAGGTCCAAGTGTTGCTAAAGAGGTCTAATGAGTAAATTGAAAAAAAAGTGTCTATTTAATACGATTGGTCTCTTAACTAGAATTTTCTGAAGTCAATATACATTAAACAGACTCTATTGTTGTTTCTAATTTTAACAACACAAGAGGATTAAAAACAATATCAAATGACATGACTGCTTGGTGAATCCTCTACAAAGGTAACCAAAATCCTGTCGTGCACAGCTAACACACTGTAGAACATTACATATGTTTGTATTCATGTACATATGTACATATTAGGTATGGATGTCCAGTTGGGTTAAAAAGAATAGATGGTAGTTTGCTATTCTGTACCATGTATAGAATGTGGATATTGGTTGTCTTGTCCTAATATGGCCAGAGTTTTATTTAAAGATCCCGACCTAATTATAGTCATGTCTATAATGGAACAGTAGACAAGGAACCACACTCTCCCTGTGGGTGTTCCCATGACTTGCTGGACAAAAACTCTCCATTGAAGATCTCTCTCTGTAACATCATTAAGCTGTACCATCTGTTAAGTTTTTACATATGTATTAATGTTTGCTTTGGGAGTAGAACACACACACATATATATATATTTTATAAAGAATGTCAGATTGTCTATTAGTATTTTTAGGTGATGTAGAGGTACATTACGGAATATTAACTAAAGAAGATAAATATATAAAAATATTTATTTTAATCATCCTTTTACCCATAAACAATTTATTATACACACACACATACACACACACACTTTCGTTTCCTAGTCTAAAATTTGGGGTTCTCCAAACTGTGGCCCTTCAGATGTTGCTAAACGCCCATGAATATTTTGAATGAAATAGCCAGAGAAGCTGGGAGCTGTAGTTCAGCAACATCTGGAGGGCCACAGTTTGGAGAACCTCCTAGAATGATTCCAATCCACAACAGTGTTTTCAGTTTTACGCACTGTAATTCAGTTTAATTCCGTGTGTCCACAAGGAGTATTAAGCTGAAAAAGGTTATTAGAATGTGCGTGTCACAACAAAACCAATTATATAAAAGTTTTTGCAATGCTGACATTTACAGTGCAGAGACAGGTATCAAGGAAAAAAACGCCCATATCTTGATAGACCATGCAACATGTTTGCAAAGCAGCAATTTAAAGTTGGCGTTACAAGCACAGATAAGCAGAGCATATTTTAAAGTATAATGTTCAGATAAGCTGCATATATATTTATAAATAATATAGATAGGAGTTATAAATTGATTTCATTGGACTTATTTTTACTACAAGGTCAAATTTTGCCTTCATTTATTGTTGTGGGTAGATAGGAAACTGTTAAGCAGCTGCTCTGGAAAACATGTACAGTTTGTAAGTCATGGAATTAGATAAGTGATCCAATATTTGCAGAGCCGTTATCAGCAGTCCAAATGAAGGAGACAGATGATAGTTAAAGTTTTCAATTTAAATAATACTGTATGGGCTCTATTTGCTATGCCAGTTCTTCATACCCTCAATAAGCCATGACACTTAAATTTAGGTAGAAATTTTACACCGTTAAAAAAATCTAAATTCACCTGTAAATTGCATTAAAGTGTTATTCCAATCACCATGACCACTTCATTGATTTGACATGGACATAGTGCGTGCAGTCTGTATGTGCAGTGTTTCAGAAATAAATGTTGCATATACAGAGATATATGATGGTTCTGCCATAAATGTAAGCCCGCATCCAGCAGCATTGCTAGTAGTCCGGAACAAGAGTGAATAAAATGGTTTCAAATGTCAGAATGCATAGCATGTTGGTGACAGACGACCAATTGCCAGCTTTCAGAACCCTTCGATAAATCTCTCCCATTCCTCCTTTTATAACAAGAATTGACAGGGAACCAAAATGGAGGTGCTCAAGGTCAGGACAAAAGTGAATACTGCAGTGTTATTTCTTACATTTCATTCTATTTTCCAGACCTCACAAACACATATTTGTTGACTATAAAAGGTAATTAAATATCATTTTTAAAAATCCAGGAATTACTTCTTTCACTCTTTTTTTAAACCTTTCTATATTTTTATTATGTTGTATAGGTCTATTCCAGTAGACCATTTAATGTTTCGAGAAAAGTGTCTAAAATACTAAAACCAAGCTGGTACAGATACTTTTGATTGAAATATGTTGCTAATATTACCAAGATATTTAACAAAGTAACATGTATATAAGTGAAGTTTACTGGATAATCTTTGTCTCGATATTGTATATGCCAAAGATTTACTTGTATGTATCACCAATACAAATGTACACATTTAAAAAATAATGATTAAATCCAGGGATGTTAAGGTGGCGAAATGTTACTGTTACATATGCTGACTCTGACCACTTTGTGTGCTTCTTCAACCATTTTTGCTCCCTTTTGGCGAAGACATTAAATAGCTGCCTGGGCCACTGACCTATCATCATATATTTTGGCAACAAGTGTCCATTGCACAGCAAATAAAGGAAGCACACGTCTTTAAACACTTATTATTATTATTATTATTATTATTGGTATTTAGATAGTGCCAGCGTAATCCACAGCGCTTTACAATACAAGGGGAATTTACCAAATGAGACAATAATAACATTTAACAAGAACAATAGTTAGTTGAGGACCCTTCTCAAACGAGCTCACAGTCTAGAGTAGAGCGTTGTACTTGTGAAGATAAGAAGAGGTATAATCAAGCAAAAAAAATAAAATTAGAGAATATAAAAACTGAAAATAGTATCATATAACCAAATGAAAATCATATATTCTCATATTTTTTATTAATATGCACACGGCATGAGTTAAAAAAAATAGTCACTGAATGCAAAGGACACAAAGATGCCATAACATTGTTTCTGATTTAAATGCCACTTTATCCTTATTCACATATAAAATTAATCACGTAAGAGCACTTCATTTTTGTTAAGTGTTTAAAAATGCAAGACTAAGGTGGAGCCAATAGGACGTATATACAAACAATACCTCGAATTGTCCCTTACAATGAACCTTTGGGGTTTGCGAATTATTTAAACATGTAGCCATTAAACTTTTAGTATTTGCTGCAACTATTTTTTCACATGACTGAATGTTTTACAGTGCTACCTAACAGCGTTGGCTTATAGCATCTCCCTAACGTAAAGGTCATGTACACTACATTCATACACTAGATTTAAAGCTTAGTTTGGTGCTTAAAGTTTTAAATTTAAGCTTTGGAAGAAATTCATATAGTTTTTCAACTGTTATTTGCAGCAACACATGTAAAATAAAAGTCAGTATGATTACCAGCCTTTGTACTATATTATTGCAATTGCTTAACACAACCATAATTAAACCTAATTTTTTTTTAAATCTCCTTAGCAACACATGCAACTTCAACAGATTATAACTGAAAGTGGCATTGTCACGCCCCCTGAAAAATGAGCATTCCATGAAGAGTGATTGTTTATGTAATAGTCATTTTGACTGTGTTGGAATTTCACTGGAATTCCAACCCAGTCAAGAGTTGTACAGAGACAAAATAGGGACTGCTATATTTCTCTCCTCCATCTGTCTTTCTTAGACTCAGGGCAGAGCTACCGGGTCAGTCCTGATTCCGTCACCAGCGTCATTCTAAGCATGAATGAGAGTACAGCAGTGACTTCGGAGCTGAAGAGGACCCGCCTGAAAATAAGATGGCGACACCCACAAGGGACAGGTTCAGGTAGGTAAATATCACGTTTATCTGCCCCCTCCCCCTGGCCTCTGGACACCCAGCAGTAATGTCACCATTGGGGGCCCTTGCAAATTGGGCAAAGTTCCTAGACAGTGACAGTGCCCATTTAAACAAACTTCCAAGAAAAGTGTCCCATTACAATGTAAAACTTAATGGGTACCACCCTAATATTCTTTTTTTTTTAAATGGTCAGTGGTGATAAACCACTAACTATTTCCATCACCCCCACTGGCATCACTGCTGATTAACCTAACCTCACTCACTTCTTCCAGATTTTGCAGCAAAGCATCGGAGTACTAATAGCAGTATCAATACATATATAAAACAAACCGATCTTGATGTGTCTTACAGAATCTTCTAGCAACTTCCACTGCACATGGAAATCATGTGGAATACAGAAAGCATAGATCCAAAGGTCCTCACATAGTCAAACTATGTATAGCCCTCTATTCCTTCCCATTATGCATGTAAGTAGGGGTTAATATACCTGGTAGGGGAGCACAACATTCTTACCTCATCAAGGATAATAAATATTATAATGACCCCTGGGACTCCTTGTCTAAATGACTTGCCCTACTGGAATTATGAGATCCCAAATACATTTCTATCCTTATATGTTAATGTGCACCCATTTCAATAATTATGGACAAGAGAATGTGCAATCGCTCAGCCATGAGTTCCAGACCCATTTATATAGCCAGTATTCATGCGGTCCCTAATCCCGTAGGAAGGGGTTTTTCTCTTCCAGTGAACATTATAGCCTTTAAAATACAATTTATATTTATATCGAGTGCCTTCAAATACCCCTTGATTGTCAGTATTTGCCCATCCAAACAGTTTCCACTGTAACAAAACCCTTTGCTTGAGGCACAAGTATTAAAATAACAAAACACAGAAATTTACTAAAAAAAACAGATCCTCCAGCATTATAGCTGGACGTACAATGTCTTGTTTTACCAAAATAGAATGGATTTCTATGTCATAGAGTTTAGTCATTAGGTCCACGCATGGTTTGATCAATGCTACATTGCAAATCAACCAATCACAAAGGTAGGGGAGGGCGCCAAGTCTCTGCAGAGATTCTATCTACCTACCTGCCCAATAACACTATCCAGCATGGGTAGATATTACTAAATTGTGAACATCAATAGTTTTGACCTCAAACCTTCTAGTGTGTTACTTGGGCTCACTCTACTTTCTTTATTTCTACAGTAACAAAATGCAAATTGCAAATGTTTAGAGTTATCAAAAAATGTAAAATATTTTGTTATCTTATTTTCCATAATTCTGAAAATCTAAGAAATGTGTTTATATTACACCATATGTCTTCAAACATACAAATATTTGAGGAAAACAATATAAAACTAATGATTAAATAATGTGATCTTTTAGTGTTTGGCCAGATGGAAAATTATAATAAACACATAGATAACGAGTCTCCAGAAATCCAAAGTTACAGTATTTTAAACAAAGATAAAATGTAAAGAAAAGAAAAAAAGAAAAGGTTGACCTTTTTGAAGCTGGAGGGACATAAACATTAACATGCTCGGTGATAAAAAAAAAAAGATTAAAGAAAGCAAATAAAATTACAAATCAGCATGAAAGCAATAAACGTAAAGCCATGGTCTGTCATTTAAGCCATCAGAGACACATTCCATGGGAATTTGACTATAAATTTGGTGTTTCTATGCACTAGAGTCAAGAGAAAATTTATTTTAAGTCTGAGAGCAGAGACAACATTTTTAGTACATGATCCAAAGTGCTATAACTCTGAGAAATAGTAGCAACAGAATATAATCAAACAGATTACAATGCAGTGCTATAGAACCATATATCTCACATAGACAAAGGCAGAAAACAGACCTATTAGCCAAGCCTTTCTTTGTAACTATATTAACCCAACTGTAATTGTAAATGTGAGCACGGACAACTTGTATATTACATTTTCTGCTATTGTTTGTGTGATACAGTGTGGATAAAACATATATATTCTACATGTGATCTGTTTATTTCCAATGTAGCTAATTATTAACGTGTATTAATCAGAATTCTAAATTTTGTGAAATGATATGCGTATTACACGCGTTGTAAGGAATGTATAATTATCTATTGCCAACCATAGCACTCGCTATTAGTACTCAGGAACAGCAGGTAGCAATTCAACCCAGTCTTTAGGTTTATGACCATTAATAGCCAATAATTGTCCAATTGGTTCGACTAAAAGCAACTCTTGGCCACTTAACAAGAATTACAACTAGCCAGTAAAACCTGCCTTAACAGTATGGAAAAAGCTGACATCAGACAAAGTGTGTTAATTATGGAATAAGACAAAAAGGGAAAGGTATATCCTTATACTAACCTAACCAGTCCTTTAAATGCTCGAAAGGAAATGCGATTGTGTTCTACAAAGCACTTTAGTGTGTTTTAATAAACTGAAACCTAGCGTTAGAGTTTACAAATAATGATTTCAATTTGCTGTTTAGGAATTAACTCAAACCATGTTTTTCACAATAAATGTTCTAAGTTCTACTGTGTAAATAAGTGTAACATAATTTGTACACATGTACATCTCAGCTTCACAAACACATTAAACGTATACATTTAGAAAGGATCACGTTATATGTTTTATTTCATATTGTCTGCGCTCAATTTTTCATCCAGTATGAGATCATCATGAATGATAATAACACGGTGCAAGGATTATAAATCTTTTAAGACAGATTGCTTTTATGTGAAATTTAGCATACTGTATTTTCTGCACAGAAAATAAAGGTATACTGTATAACGAGTCTGGTTGCCAATGGACTCTTCTGGGAAGGAAATATTATTATTATTATAACAGGTGAAATATTTACACAGCTCTTCAAAAGACAAACAAAGATTTAATTTTAAAAAAAAAGTAATGGAAATGTTGAACCTATATACAGTTAAAGTAAAACTGGTAAAAATATAGGAAACTCTTTTTTTTAGCAAGAAATTGTAACTTACCAAAAAATTCTTAAAGAAATCCATCATCTTCCCAGACAGAATTTCTCCACCAAATGTTTTAAAAACCAGAAAGGGAATCCTGACCCTGGGGCCAGCACACAAACTGCTGACGAAACTCGCATGCACCTGATTGCTCTACCAGGTAAGTTCTCACTGAACTTCCCTTGAAAATGCTGCAAGACTGAAAAGGGTGGGTCAGCAGCCAAGTCTGCACACAAGAAACTGGTTTTACAGGAAGTAGGATTTAAGACAGCAAAGAAAAGTGCTCAAATTTATTTGGCTTGCGGAATATGTCAACTGTTGTGTTCTAATGGAACAGCAAGCACCTTCCAAGTTATAAATCAGGTAGCTTGTTTAATTTGCTGAGATCTCTGCTTTAGTCTCTGAAATATTTCCTGATAATGTCCAAAGGAGAAAATTTTGCTTTTTAATAGATCAGTTTAACTAATCTTACAGTTATTCACTATATTGGGGATTGTAAAGAACTGACAATTCAAGTTTTAGCGTAGACTTGGATATTTTTACAAAAAAGATGGGTACGGACGAGCGCATATTTGTTTTAAAATTCCAATAAACCAATATACAGAATAATACTTATTAGCTGCTATACATTCAAGTGATCCCTTACGATATCACCAATACAGAATACAAAACAAGGAAAGAATGTAGCGCTTAAAAAAAATGAATAAATTGATCACCTTTTTAGTTGTTTATCTATAAGAAATTTAATTATTTCTTATAGATATCTATGCATATTGGACACATCAGAACAGTCCACCTCCTAACTTAACTAAAAAGACTTGGAGATTTATAGAACTTTATAGAGAATACAGTTTCATCAATACATTTTGTCAGCAAATGTTTAGTTGTAAAGTCATCCCTGTTTTTGTTATTATCACTTTTTAATTTTTAAAACTGCGCCGGACACAACACAAAGTACAAACTCAATGCATATCTACTTAAATGTAAACTTGATATTCATATATCTGTATGGATATTAAAGACAGGTTCTCCATAAACTATGTGTCTCCACGCATGTCAATGCCATGAGGACAATGACAACGTTAATTTCGGCGTTCCCGCATGTTTTGCGGGCATGACTACCTAATTAAGGAGCCATGCTATAAATAGTTAGTTTGGGCATGGGTCTTTATAGTTCCAGAGAGTGCGCTATGTTTCTGGTTCTGATCTAGGCCATTATAGACTACTCTCCTTTCTGTAATTCCTGGCTCAGCTTTTGTCATTTGATATTTCAGAATTCTGTTTCTTGTCCCTGATTATTCTTTGTTTAGTTGTGTGATGCCTGACCACACTAAGGACCGGATTACGTTATTCATTGTTCCTCAGTACACACTATGCGTGTTGGGTCTCAAAAACCTGACAAAACCATACCTAATACTACAATTAATATTTTTTATCTCCTGCTTGACAGAATATTATCAGCTCTCCTGGTGCCTTTACAAGTGTCTTGTATTGACATTTGTGTATTTATCTTTCCTGGTGAGAAAAGTGTTGAGGTAAACGGCTTGTCAGCGAACGCAGCGTTGCAGCTGCATTTGCGGCCTTCACTAAAAATAAATATAAGTGAAAGGCCTGTAAAGATAGATATGATGGTGGGTGGAATGGATGGAAAAAAAATTAGGAAAGACTGCTAAAATAGTTTTTCTTGTCTGGGTTTACATATAAATACAAGAAATCGATGTTATATAAATAGACGATATGATTATTAAATGTAAAGTGAGATTTACGGATTAAAACATTCATAATGGAATTTTTAATCTGAGTAGAAACTAACAAGATAAGTTTACAGTTTAATTTTGGTGCTCAAACTGTCACTATAACATTTTGAAAAAAAATTAGCAGTGAAATTTAAAATTAAAAAGCAGTGACGTGTCAGGTCATATTCTATTATACGAAGGAGAAATGGGGAATAGCAGAATAAATGCCAGAATTCCTATATCCACTCTAATAGCAATGATGCCAGCAAATACTTTGATTTTAGAGTTGTAGATGCATGGTACAGCCTTTCAGGAGATATGGTAGAGATGGATAAAGTGGCTGATAGACACCTTAACGTTCTTGTGACGGAGCTCCCTGTACCCCAGCTGGGTACCTCTGCCAAGTCCGCTTCCGAGCCACTCGCAGGGACCCTGGA